GGGCCGAACGCGTAGGCATCGGTTTATAAATGCTTTTGGATAACCGTTCCGCCTGAACTGGTCACGGAGATATCTGGCCTCGCGTGCCTTCTCTTCTGGTTTACTGCAGTGGGTCTGGATCCGTTTGAAGAGAGTTTTTACACAGCTCCGTTTGTGAGCAACTGTGACCTCCTTGCTTGTGGCTCATAAACCAGCCAGGTACAGCTCACAAAGTGAGTCAAAAGCCAAATTGATTTTTCAAACATGCTACGCTTATATTTATGATCTTTTACAACACAATGCGCAAAATAAAGCTGTTTTATGCTGTCATCTGAAATATTATATGAAATTTCTTAGGTATCCAGCAACCTCTGATTTCTCCCAAGTCCTGTTTGTTCTCAGTCAAGAAACAAAATTGAGCATGCCTTTTTCCTTAGTAGAAGCCTTTATGATCCTAAATGCTAATCAAAAAATCAAAATAACAAGAAAAAATATATACTAAATTACTAACTCACATTTCGATTACGAGATTGTATGAGTTAGTTCATCTGCTGTACGCTACTTTCTGTAGGCATAATAACAGGTTCTGGTTAGATGACCCGTTTGTTTTTTTACATGTGCGCACACATAGCCTGCAGACTTTTAAACACCTTTTATTCAATTGCAGACCCTGCAGGAGCACAGTGCACGACTGAAGGCACTGTTTGGCGATGTTGTTGTGATCAAAAAAGTGGTTCAGGACGTGTGTTCATGGGAGAATCCTTTTCAAGCTATTGGTGCCCTTGTTGGCTACGTCGTCGTGGTCTGGAACTTCCAACCCTTCATGGTGCCACTGGGTATGATCGCGGGAATCCTCGCCAACCGGTACCTCTACAAAACACCCCATATGCTGAGTGTTTATGACACCATTCGAGCTGCTTACGGAGTGGGTGCGAGCAATCTGTTGGATAATCGCTACGCTTCAAGCTTCCAATCAGGTAGTATGGAAGATCAAGTGTCTGGCAATGGAGGCATCGTGATCCGCAATGATATACTGGACGCGCTCAATTCGGGCATTTTGGTGCCTGAAGGGGTGGGTCTCTTTCAAGTCATATATCCTTGTTAATATTTCCCCCCCCCGACAGTTTGACCGTCGATTCTGACGACGTCCACCATGTACTCCACAGTATGGTGGTGCAGGGACGACGTCCTATGCGTGTATTATTTTTAAGTGACAGTAGACTTGCGCGGCATCTACCACACTCTCTCTCTACCCTCACTCGC